TGTGAGTTAAAACAACTACCTATATTACATTGTTCATTCAAACAAACCTGCATTCTTTTGTCAAACATACAAATCTAAGCTATTTCAACTCTGCAAGTTAAGTTATAGAAGTTGTTTAATGAATGATTATTTATTGTTTCAACTTGATTCTGTGAGTTAAAACAACTATCCGTATTACATTGTCTAGTCTATTCAATGAAACTTACTTTTTCTTGTCAAACAAAGTCTACACCCTTTCAACTCACATTTTTAAGTTAAGATATAAGTGACTATATTCATACCAATTGCCTTTTCAAGTTAGGTTAACTCGTGTTTTTAAGGCAGCAATTGAACTTATAATTTCAAATTAAGTAGACTTATGTTTTTAATTTCCATCCCTTATCTCAACTAATAATAGCAAGTTCATCCATCCATCGTCAACAGCTCATCCTGCGTACAGGGTTGGGGGCTGGAGCCAATCCCAGCTGACATCGGGGTACATCCTGGACAGGTCTCCAGTCCATCGCAGAATAGCAAGTTCACCAGTTTCCTAAAAGGGTACAATGAATGAACTTACAATTCATGTATTCAAAAATAACAATAATTACAGCCTTCGTCTCCTCCAATATTTATCTTGTCTTATTTAAGGAACTTTGAGGCTGGTTTGAGTTGCCTTAAGTTCTCCACTTCTAATGTCACAAGACTTCAAAAAGTCCAGACTATCAGCTCTCACAATCCGTACATTAACATAAAGTGGGGAAGATCAGTGTTTTGTCCCCTCTATCATTCTCCAAATGAACTAAAATTGTGAGACAGCGCTGGTTTTTCACAGTACAGAACAGCACATATAAAAAAGAAACACGAAGTCTTAACAGGAACCATATCCACATGTCTGTACCTCAGGATTCTGTTTCTTAGTCCATGTACTCGGGCAGATTGTGGTCTGGTTTTATCTTCATCACCACTCTCTGAAGAAACTCAAAGGAATACTTCATGACTTCTGGGTACTCGAGATTGACACAGTAGATGACACCCATGAGCATGGCATGCCACATCTTTAATGTTGTCTCCTCAACCACAACAGCTATCTCGAAGACCTCCTGTGGAAATCCCGTTCAGCACCTTCATAGCCTATCAGCAGGCCAAGTTGCATCCCCTTCATGGCTTCATCCAGAGACTCCGTGTGAGCCTTATGCAGCACACCTGGACACACCACCGCTCACTGAACAGATCTCTGCCTCACTGCCACAAACAACTGTCTCCACCTGCTGGCATGTAAAGCCGTCTGCTCCCAGCGCTGTTCCACAGACTTCTATTCCTGTCATCATCACGCATAGACCAGTAAACCGAAATGTGCACATCCCACACAGAAATATTAGTAATCTCTTAAGGATTAGGACAACTGCACCAACTCCAGCACCCAGAACAAACTCATTTAAAATGGCTCTCTTCAATGTGAGATCACTTTCAAGTAAGACTTTTATCTTAAATGATTTTATCTTGTCTGCAAATCTAGATTTTATGTTTTTAACTGAATCCTGGCTGCAAATGAATGACTATAGCCAGCTAGCTGAACTGTGTCCGCCTCAATATGATTGTTTTAGTCAACCGAGGGTCAGTGGTCGTGGTGGTGGGCGAGTGAGCGTGTATAGGAAATATTTAAAATGTCATCAAGTACGCTGTTATGAATTTAACTCCTTTGAAGTTCTCACTCTTAAAGTTGGAGGGCTGCATCATATTTGTTATAATTTATCGCCCCCCAAAACCGCCTGGAGGATTTTTATCAGAACTTCCTGAATTTTTATCTACTCTGGTTTTAAATTATGACAGAATTGTTCTTTGTGGCGATTTTAATATTCATGTTGATGACCCCAACAATGTTAATGCAACTGACTTTTTAAATATGGCCACTTCTTTTAACTTCAAACAACATGTCAAAGGGCAAACACATAACCGTGGTCATACACTGGACTTGGTTTTTACCCTGGGTGTCAGCATTTCCTCTGTGGAATTGGTGGACATGACCATATCTGACCACAGATGTGTTGTTTTTAGCTGCGATTCGCCTGTTACTCATGCCGCCTCACCAAGCTCCGTGTGTTGTCGCATCTTTAATGAACAAAGTGTTTCAAAGTTTTGCGCAGTCTTTCAGAGCCAAAGCCAACACCTGTCTGATTCCAACACCAACAATCTGGTCGATCACTTCAATCATATCTGCTTGTCGTCACTAAATATTACTGCTCCTCTAAAGGTTAGGCCTACGTCTAAAGCTAGTAAGCAACCCTGGATAAATGACAGCATTCGCAGCCTCAAAAGGGAATGCAGGAAAGCAGAGCGCAGATGGAAAAAATCCAGTCTCCAAGTCCATTATCTCAGTCTGAAGGATTTATTAATTAACTACAATAACATGGTTAAGGATGCGAGAACACACTATTTTTCTGAACTCATTACTACACATAAACACAATCCCAGGTTTCTGTTTAAGGCTGTGGATCAGCTGGTAAACCCAACCCCTCCTTGTGCCTCAGCTGGAAGTAATGATGACTGTGAATTGTTTTTATCTTATTTTACCAATAAGGTGGTGTCAATCAGAGCCTCTATTACCCCCGTGGCCTCTTACTCAGAGGTTCCTCACCAGCAACAACAGAGTTTTAACCAGTTTTATCCCATCAACTTGTCTGAGCTTTTAAAAACAGTATCACAAATGAGAGTGTCCTCCAGCCCACTTGATGTAATACCTACAAAGTTTTTACTGAAAGTAATGGATTCTGTTGGGCCCGATTTGATCTCTGTTTTCAACAGCTCCCTATCTACTGGTTGTGTCCCTGATTATTTTAAAACAGCTTGCGTGAACCCACTTTTAAAGAAACCTGGTTTAGATCCCTCCCTCCCACATAATTTTAGACCAATTTCAAACCTGCCTTTTATTGCAAAGATTCTAGAAAGAATTGTGTCCAAACAGCTGCTCACTGTACTGGAAAATAACAAATTATTTGAAAAGTTTCAGTCTGGTTTTAGGAAGTACCACAGCACTGAGACTGCCCTGCTTAAAGTCACCAATGACCTTTTAATGTCTGCTGATGAAGGCATGTGCTCAGTCCTTGTACTCCTGGACCTTAGCGCTGCTTTTGACACCATTGATCACAACATCATGTTAGACAGACTGAGGCACTGGGTGGGGATCTCTGGTACTGCCCTAGAATGGTTTTCATCCTACCTGTCAAATAGGAAGTTTTGCGTGTCTGTAAACAACTATGTCTCTTCGTTCTGTCCAGTTAAATATGGTGTGCCTCAGGGGTCGGTCTTAGGACCCATTTTGTTTTCCTTGTATCTGCTTCCCCTTGGACATATTATCCATAAACATGGCATTTCTTTTCATATTTATGCTGATGACACACAAATATACTTGCCCGTCAGATCCACAGACCCTGGAATGCTGAGTTCACTTAACAACTGCCTTTGTGAAGTTAAAAAATGGATGTCAAATAATTTCCTCCAACTGAACTCAGACAAAACAGTAATCCTGGCTTAATATGATTTACTAGGGAACCAGCAGATGGCAGTATTTGATTTGCCATCTGCTGGTTCCCTAGTAAATCATATTAAGCCTGTTGCAAAGAACCTTGGTGTTTGGTTTGATAGTAATTTAAATTTCAATCATGTTTTTATCAACTTAGAAATATAGCAAAAATTCGATCTATGTTAACTTTTAAGGACACCGAGACCATTTTACACGCCTTCATTTCATCACGCCTGGATTATTGCAACAGCCTTTTCACCTGTTTAACCCAAAAATCTATTGATCGACTCCAGACTGTCCAGAACTCAGCTGCCAGGCTTTTAACCAGAACAAAGAAATATGACCACATTACTCCTATTTTAGCTTCATTACACTGGCTCCCAGTATCTTTTAGAATTGACTTTAAAATTCTATTGATCACTTTTAAAGCTCTTCATGGCCTCTCGCCTTGTTATATTTCTGACCTTTGAGTCCCATACGCACCAGCACGTACCTTGAGATCCTCGGGCAGGGGTCTGTTGTCTGTTCCAGAGTCTCGACTGAAAACTAAAGGGGACAGAGCGTTTGCTGTCAGGGCCCCGAGGCTCTGGAACAGCCTGCCCGAGGAAATCAGGTCTGCTGAGTCAGTGAACTCTTTTAAGTCCCTTCTTAAAACATACTTTTATAGGAGAGCCTTTCCTGACTTTATTTTATCCCTTTTATTTTACTAATTTTATATTAATCTGTATTTTAGTATTTTCAATGTTTTCATGCTTTTATCTTGTATTGTTTTTGTATTATTGTCTCTTGGGTATTATTGTCTTTACACTTGTTAAAGCTCTTTGTAACTTGTTTTTGAAAAGTGCTCTACAAATAAAGATTATTATTATTAAAAAGCAGAGACAGTGTGTGACTGTTTTAGTCTACAATTATATAGGCTTTAAAAGGCTCATAATCCTCGAATACAGAGCAGGGAAGTCACACCCTTTAGTGGTTCCCAAAATAGTCTGGACCTGATCAGTAACACCAACTATTAATTCATATTCAAAATTTCAGCCCTTGGAAGTGAGCCTAAAATTTCAGACACTGAAGCACTTTAGCAAATGTTACTAAAAGATGAGTGACAGGAACAACCATATTTTACAAAAAAAGTGTAAATTACAAATCATAAACCACATGAACGTCTAATAAACTGTCTGTCCTTTAAGTTAATATGAGAAAATGCAAAGTAAAGTTTGAATGAATTGAATTTGTTTTTATGACTTTGTTAGACGGGCAATGTTAATAAGTCTGGGTTGGGGACACCCCACCAAAAAATTCTGGCACATTTGAGTTTTCAACAGACTTTTAAAAATGTATTAAAATGTCATCACTGAGACAATTTAGCAAACAGACACTGTGGTTTTTTATGAAGTAATTTTTTTTCTTGAAAATCTACCCTAGGAATAGAGAAAGTCCCAAAATAAAAGACTCACCCATACACACTGAAAGTTTTGCATTACAGAAATCCCAATGGTCTTACATCACACATCCTGACGACAGGTGATGGAGCTTCGCCTGATATGTAGTGTGGCAGACCAAGCAAGGCAGCCGTCCTTCTCCTCTCATTTGCATCCTACAAGACAAAGAAACATGCAGTAAGATGAAAATAAATGTTTTAGCAAAGATGATACATTTTGCCTAATGTTATGATCATCTGCTCTCCACTTACATCTTTCTGAAGGCAGTCCAAAATGTCTTTGAGTGATTGCTTCTTTCCAGTCTTGGTTGCTGCTTTGTACACCTCCAGCAGTCTTGGGACCAGGCCATCAAGTCCGTCGAGATAAGATTCCAGAAGGTCTTTGGTGAGGAATCTCTTGAACTACGCCCTGATCTGAGAAGAGACAGATAGAAAATATAAGTCCAACACAATTCTGAACTGGACACAGTATACAGTATCAGACAAAACATGCTTCAATCTCTCGACTGAGTACCTGTCTCTCATGGAACAGAGCTGGCCATCTGGAAATGACTTCTGTGATGAGTGGCTGATGTCCACTAATCTCTTTTCTGCGCTGGGAAAACGTAGCAACCATCAGGTCTTCTACCAGCTGGTGATCAGGGTCTCTTTTCAGCATTTCAGCCTCCATCATATTGCGCTTCTCCCCCATGTTTTCAGGACTCTGTCCTTCAGGTGGATCTGGACAGTTGACCTCACCCTTCTTTGACTTCCTCACACTTTTTCCCTTTAAACCTCCTCCTTTTCTTTTGTTTACCACCACCTCAGGGCATCCTGCTGCACTTAACTTTTGCCAATAGTTTCCAAGCTTAAATTTCAGGCTGTCAAACCATGAGTACCATCCATTTTCAGACCCTTCAGACTAGGATGCTTCTCTGCAAGTGCTTTGGCTACATTCTCATAATGATGCCTCTCAGGATAAGCACTAATCTTTGACATACTGTCGGCCAGTGTCTCAAGGATATCAGTCTTTAAACCTTTAGGAATCACCATTACAGATCCATCCTTAGCATACCTACAACTGGCTTCTTTCAGCTGGAGCTCCACATCATGTGAGAACTGTGGAGTCGGGAAGGGGTCAGGCCATTCAACACAATCTCCACTACTAAGAGAAGGGAGGCTGCAAGTGTCAAGTGAGAATCTCACTTTCACAGTTGCCCGTCCCACATTAGGTTGCACAACTGATTATTGAAATCAGAAATCAGAAATTTCTTTTTCTGATATGACACGCAGTAGCATTGTAGACTACTTTTACCTGAAAAGACAAAGAGAAAAATACAGTTTTAAATGTTTACAATAACCTCTTCATATCAGTCACACACATCTATCCTCAAACAAGTTGTTCCACATTTTTTAAGTATCAGTGAACAGAACATGGAATCTGATATTTTCTATTCTGAGTTTGGCCACTTCCATATTTGGTCTTAAATCTGATACTGACAAGATTTTTCACAATGCAACCTCAGTCTAAACAGTCAATCTGAAGTCAAAGAGATGGGTCACCTGAACTGAAACTGTTGCCATGAGACACTAACAGTTGTAGTTAAAAGTAGCTTTCAATATGTAGACATTTTCAGGCAATTTGTTTCTACAAAGCCATTCAGGTCACAAGCTCATCACTGTGGTAACAACTCCAAATCCGCACAATATGTAGTAGCCATTGTTCGACAACAAGACACAACTCAACTAAAAATTTGCTGTCTTTCTCTCTTTATCCTTAGCCGTTTTATTATGTGCTCACAAATGATCTGGCTCAACTGCAGATCCTTGTAAAAAGGAAACTTTCAACACTGACTTTAGTGGCCTCTATGTTTAATTATGTACAAATAATAAACCATGTGTGATATTTTTGTTATTGGTCTTTAGCGCGTGTGGGTTGTTGCTAGCTTGTACTAAAGGTGTTAATTCAATTATGTTTTAGGTCATAGTTGAGTGAAAGTGTTGTACTGAGCTGCATTATATTGAGGTGTTGTTGTTATTCTTTTGCAGTTCCACTCAAAAATCACATGACAGTTTATATTTTTTACAATGAAAATGAGACAAATTCAATTAGTTGTAACAGTTGTATCAGTCAAAATGATCACAATTGCACATTTTTCAATATTGCTCAGTCCTAATAACAGGATAATTACTTACAGCGGGTTTATTTCAGCAAGAATGTCTTGGGAGTGACCAAAAGGCAGCCTTGAATGAAGTATGAGTGGCACGTAGTCATTGAGATCCTCCGGTTTCACTGACAGACATGTAGTAAGACTTTTCCTCACAAGATGGAAACTTTTACGATGTAAAAGGTTCAATAATGAAGCATGAAGCAGGCAGCACGAGCTCCAGAAAGAATCATTGCCTTTGAATACTTTGTTCCATTTAGAAAGATGTAAGGGGTCAGTCCAACTCTGTCAACATCAATGAATCTACTCAAGATAGCTTGTCTGACAGCAGTGTCTAAGACATCCGGGCACACATAAGACACCTTTGCAGTCTCAGTCTCAGGCTTGAAAAGGCATTTCAAGATAATGTGCCAATATAAGTTGATGTCTTGAAGCCAGGGTAAGCTGAATGTTTTTGAAAACTGTTGGCATCACGCACAACCTTTTAAAAGAAAGAATGTTTAGCCTTCAAACCGGATTGTCCAACACTCAACTGGAGGTCCAAACTTCTGAATGAAATATGGGTAAAGCTCAATAAAGTGATGTTTGGAACGCAACCTGTTATTCGGGAAAACTGTCAGCAGCAACTGTCTGTGGTCCGATATTTTTGATTGTAAATTACAAAGTGAGTCTGGAGCGAAATATGTCAACAATAACTGTGTGAAAACCTGTCAATCTGTTAAGAGGACATTCTCGTTTTACACCATCAACAGACACAAGTTCACTCTGCTTCAACACAATCACAGCTTCACTATATAACTCGGGTGTTCGTAAAAAAAACAAAGTTTCCACTTCTGACATCATAAGTCTGTATTTCTTCACGACTACTCAGACAAAACCTACAAAACTTGTCCACATTAAAGGACTCTTGGAATCCACCTAAGGCGTGTGCAGCCAAGTTGTCTGCAGCCACATACAAGATTGTCCCTTTAACATTAACAACAAGTTTCTCAACAAACACACCAACTGTTTTTAGATGTTCAATGTCTTTTATCATTATGGCTTCAAAACACTACTACAACCATAAATCTTGATATGTTCAGTCTGACTTGTATGACTTGTATCTTCTTGGCAAATTGGCAAGAGTCCAGTACACACCACAGACTTTGTGTTTTTCCCGGAGGTCCCCAAGGGATTACAAATTTCAAAATCATCAATGTACAAGGTTATGCATAAACTAAAATCTTGACATGAGAGAACAGGATTACTTTTTAAGTAGTCAACATCAAGACATGACCTGTAGTGACCAGACTGTCCAACTGGTTTGTTTACTCTCAGTACATGCAGTATTTCTTCTCTTTTGAGTAGACCAGAAAGTAATTTTAGAATAGGGACATAAACGACAGTATGAGACCTTTTTTGTGTACTCATCTTTTTCTTTGCTGGGTTTCCCTCGTGTAATAAACAAGAGGCCCAAAAATCATTAGTCTGTATCTTAGATTATTCAATAATTTATTTATATACAAAAAGGTACAAAATATATGAATATGATATAATACAGATTAGATAAAGTTATAATTAAAATAAAATAATAAAAATAATGGAAAAAAATTGAATTGTAGCTAAGATCTACTTTGTTACTTGGACAATTTAGGGAGTTTTATCCTCCTATTCAGAACCTAGATAAAAATCCTGAAGATTACTCAAAGACCCTCAATTTCATTCAGATTAGCCTACTAGAATCATTGGACATTAAACTTTATATTCTATTAACATTAAATAATTCAAGTCTTAATTTCCTAATTCTTAAAGAGAGATTACTGACCCAATTTTGTCGGAGACCCATTCCCTCCCACTCTCTGGAATAAAAGTCTATCGGCCACTCCTTGTTGCCTCCAATATAAACCCCCCAAAACTACAGCCACGTTGATTCCTAACTGCGTCATCTCTCTCCTGGTATCCTAGGTCCTTTCCCGTGTTATTAAAGTTCAACAAAACAAGTCATTAATCTGACATCCCCCTTTCTGCACTTTCTTCTCGTTTCTCAGAAACACTTTCATTCCTCTAAAGCACACAAACCTTTTTAAACTCTTGATCACGGTTTTCACAAGAATTCAAAGATAAAACAGAAATTTAGGCAAAGCGGTATCATTTGTTTGTTCTCTTAACATGAATATTCTACATATACATTTCTATAACATCCTATGACGACTGTGATTACAGGAAACACTCTAAACTTTCAAGTTTCCACACCCAATGTTTTCTCACTTCCAGGAAGGCGTCAACTGAGGCATTCCCGTGTGAACGTAGGTTGACAGGTCGACTTCTCATTCTACAGGCTATCTTAAACATTTCTAAATGACCTTCACATTCATTTAGATATACATTTTTTTGTACATTTTTCCCAACTCCTCTCTCAAGTTTGTCTCTCTCATGTGCTGAGTGTTCCCGAAAGTTATTTGTATCTTGTTTTATGGTTTATAATGTCAAATGACCTTCCATTTCCCGTCATGCATACACAAAACTTTTTTCAGTAATCACTTTCACAGCTGCATCTCCATACAGCTCACGGTTTTTGGTAACAACAACCAATGAAAATATCTTTTTGGCAGTAGCTCCCTTAGCTATGGACGACAGGAAACATCCGTATCAGCACAGTTTTTCTCTTAAATTGTTTAATTATCTTTCCCCTACCTCATGACTGTTATTTATAAATAGTTTCTCTGCATGTAGATCTTTAATTACTACACTCAAAACATATTCAACAGGTTCAATAACAGAAAAGTTTTTTCTATTAAAATGATTGCCTTTTATATTCTGTGCCTAGAGGTCCCTCTCTTGCAAGCAAAGTGAGTGGGTTTGAACTCTGTAATGCTTCAGTCAACGGTGATGTCAATTCCTCAGATGTGCAATTATGCACCGTCAGAATAGTTTTTAATTGCCTGCCTAGTTATTTGTACAGCACCTTCACCAATATCAAATAAGTCATCCACAATTTCTTGAACTGCTGACTTTGAAACATGAAGGACTGCTTGCAGCCTAAGTATTATGTACAGGCTGAAAAACAGGTTCTGGCGACAGTAAATCTGGTTACACTTAATCATCCCCTTCATCGTCTACAAAGGCCTGACTGTGACACTTCACCATAAGTTCAGGTCTGAAATTGACAAAAGTAGCAGCATGATGAGACCGACTTTTATGGGCAGTAAAAGTTGAGAATATCCTAAACTTAGAAGAGCACCCTACAAATGGGCAATTCACAGTCTCTCGATTTCTCAAATGTTTCTTTAGATGAAGAAAATATTGCTTGATGTTGGTTGGAGCTGAAAAAGTACAAAGTTCACAGTGTATTTTAGCAACAGGGTTTGATCCTTTTTTGTGCTCCTTTATATGTTTTGCAAAATCCACATGGGATTGGAGGACTGTTAGTCAGTTTGGGTAAATGCAGCTCAAGCCCTGTCTTTCACGTCCATAACTGTCTTTGTAGTGACTCACTGTTTTTTCATTGTAAGTGGCAACATTGCAAAACTTACAACTCCATACATACAGTACATTAACTGAATAA